TTCAGAGTTTTCAAAAGATTCTTAATTAATTCATTCATTAATTTTGACACATTTTCTTACTCTCTTCTTATTAATAAGGTATCTACACTAATTACTTTTCTAAATCTTTATCATCGCTGCATCAAAACCGAAAGCGTTTCTTTTACTATTCATTTTCCACCTAAAAGCCTTTAGGACTTGATATTTTTTGTATACAGCCAACTTTGAAAGATTTTTGCAAACAAGGTCTGTGTAATCGCGAAAAGGAACGCTTTATTTTTTTGCATGAGATAAGAAAAATGCCTGTTTTGCTCCCCGAGAATTTCGAGGCTCTCAAGGATTTTCTTAGCTTAGCGATGTAGATAACCCCGAATTACCGACTTTCATAATCATACTTCGAGGGACGCATATTAAAAAATTCAAAACGTGCTAGGATTTTTACGAGTATGAAGGGAGCTTTTGTTGCTAATACTGATAACCTATGCTAGTACGAGATATTAACCTATTCTCCGATGATGTAAAACTGTTTTCAGAATAAAGTTTCTGGAAGTTATTGTTTATTTTACATCCTGATAGAATAAACTGGGAGCAAACTGAATTCTAAAGACCGGTTCCCGGCTCGTGCCCGGCGGATTCGTTAAAATATTACTTCGCAGATTTCAAAATATAAGAGCCGCGTTAAAAGCGTTTTCGTGTTCGCTTATAGAAAAATAAAAATCTCATTTTGCGAACCGTTTGCCTGATTACATTATCAAAAGGTGGAATACCCAGCGAAATGTGGAAGGCGGCTCGCGATAAAGATTTTTAATTTCGCTAAATAACACTCCCGTACCGGGTGTTGCATCAGAACGTCCTAATTTAGCTGTTTATTTTGAATCGTGCAAGCGTCAACTTTAACAAATTTCGACGATAGTTTCCCATTAGTATTTTAAATTATTATCTATACGGCGGTTGACGTGTCCTCGGTTAATCAAATTCTAATATCTGTGTTTGTTCCTTCGTTTCTATCGACATCACGCCATCTGCACCGAAATGATCATCGTCACGCTAACGTAAAATCAGTGCGAAGCTAAAGCTATTTTTTCGCCCTTATATGCGTACATATACCCAAAAATATTGCGGCTAGTCCTCTCAATGAATTACCCTCATCAAATCTAATTAAATTAACGAGTCACCAAGTCTACAGGGGCTCATTTTTATTTAGATTGCTCAAGGAGTTGGAGTGGATTAAGCCGCATGCAATTTCATAAAAGGCAATGATAAATTGTCCGGTGCGATATTTTTTCGAGCTGGATTATGTTTCTCGAACTAAATCAACTATACGCGATACGAACTTTGGTTCATGGGAAGCGAATATCAGACAATGGAGGATAAGGAGATATATATAGATGGTGCTTCCCGGGGATCCCCGAAAGGTAAATTAACATTGGCGAGAACTGTCGGCCGGGGTGAAAAATGAGAAGGAAAGGTGATTAAGCGCCGAATCAGCAAACGTGTTTCTTTTATTTTGATAGATTGACTTTTGTTTCTGTTTCTTTTATCTGTTATTCAATGTCATCTAACTTATTGGTTTCTTATGGCAAGCGTAAAGTGCACAAAATTGTTGATGATTAAAAGTACTTTTCTGCGAATATGATTGAGCTAGTCGAACGTGTCTGTAGGCCGTGCCTTTTAACCGAAAATTTGCATTTTCTTTTTCGCCAACGTCTATAAATTTTACCATTCCGGGGAAATTATGGAGATCCGCCAGCTAGAAAATTATGCATGTATATTTCCTTCTCCTGAAGGCAGTGTCGGTCTACCGATTTTTTTCGCAACCACTCGACTTTTATTTATTTTAAATTAAAACATTTGACTATAAACATACGAATAAATTAACTATGCTATACTTATACAGTAATTTTTATCGGAAATGAAATGATTCAAACTAAACAAAAGCTCAATAACCATGCAGGAATAATTTCCACTTAAACTGACTCATTCTCATTAGTTCACCAAATTTGCGCCAACCTTGATCACTAAACAAACAAAGCATAATATTTAAAAGTACTGCAATCTCGCAACGATTTGCTGATATATAACAAAAAAAGTAATGAAATTTACTAGAATTTTCGTTGGAATTTCATCCAAAATATTTACCAGTTAATTTCGATTAAATTTAAGACTTCATTTAATCTCATGATAAGAAATTAAATTCGTTGTTATTACAAAAATTCCTTGCTAAAAATATTTTTCCGTCGAATTATTAAAAAAAAAATTTCATAATTACTATACCCTTTACAGAATTTGTGAGGTTTTCCCTGCAAGAAAATAACCTTAAAATGAAACCGCAAAAGGCTGAAACTACTTTAATTTGTCTTGCGAAATTTCGGGTAGCAGGAATTTTTATATTACGTCGAATTGCTCGGTATACGCTTGGATATTGTACTTTCACCAAAATACGTTTTGCATAAATTGTAATAAAAATCTCATTCCTGCTCGCTGAGTAATAAAATTTAATATTGTTTAATAAAGTTTTATGGCGTTCTTATATGTTATTTCAATTTCAAGTAAAAACCGGAATAATTACAACTAAATGAGCCGTTATTCCAATTCTCAAAGGATTTTATGCAACTGCACAAAAGTGTTATGTTTTAATAAAATTGGGATTTTTTTGTAATATTGCAATTTTTTTTCTAACCGAATAAAATGTATGTACCTATATAAAAATAGTTTTCAAACAAACTTGATTATTTTCGTTACCCATAAAATGATTTAGCGCCGTTCAGTTCATCCCTATCGGTGAAAAACTGTCAGTTAGCCGAGGAGAAAAAGTCGATGTCACTCTTACACAGATAGCCGAATGGTTTATGAGCGAAGCGTCGAGGTGGTTTTCCCATTTTTCCGCCATTTCCCGACTATCTGGGACGCACAATTTAACTCACCGTCACTTATTTCTTGCTTACCACGCACGTTTCTTTATATTAAAATACATTAGCGACTCTCGAATCGTCCTTTACAGGAAATGTCATTAAAGGTGGAACGTTCATAGCGTTTTTATATTTATCGAGTTAGAGATAGCGAGTTGAAGAAAGAAGAAAATTTTAGGAAAAGATTTCCAATGTAAATGAAGGTACTTTTTGTTTTTAATGTTAGACAATTTTTAGTGTTGCAATGCAGGGTATATTAATTATTTATATGAAGGTATAATTTACTTTTTATTCATCAGATAACTATAAACTACTAATTATAAATTTAGGTAGGTATATAAAACTAAATAGTACGCCATCATGTATTACAATGTATTATTCCGTCTATTATGCATTTATACATACCTCTTCTGTATACAAATTACAATTGGGCTTTCATGTCAAAAAGCATTTAACGTTGCATTCACTAAATTACGCCGCATGACATTGATTTAAGAGATAAAATTGCCCCTAACCACACGCTTGTACGGACATGTCGACCGATATGTTCAATATTTGAATGGTCTGTGGCTCCATATTCAAACAACAAAGAGCTTATCTGATTCCTAATAAATATTCATCCATTACCTTTTAAAACACTTTGCTATAACGATCCGTCTAGTATACTCTTAGTAATTGCCGGTATAAGTGTAATATTGAAATTAACTGTATAGACGTATACAAACATTCAATTATACAAATTAGGAGTGAACTTAAACATTGACAAATTCACGCCGACGATCCACTATTGTAGACCGCTAAACTCTGTTCATTCCGACGGTATACAAGAGGCACGAAAATGGCTTAATTAATTAACAACCCTCAATACACATTACACAATCAACAAGACGTACGCCGAGATTGAAATGTAAACCCAAAAAAAACTCAAACTCATGTGTAATAACAGTGGCAATTAGACGAGATATAAACCTTTACGATTGTTTGTAATGATTCCTTCGTTGTAAAAATATACGAAATTCTCCTCGGTTTCCGTGACGCCACCTGCTACATTCGTTGTGCCAGAAGCATAATATCGCGCACTGGGCTGGCAGGAGTCGTAAAAATCCGCGACCGAATTTCGCGTTTGATGTATCGCCGAATCCTCTCGCATATTCGTCTACGTGTGTACCTCTCCATAAACGCCGCGTTTAGTAACTAACTGGATCATAAAGCGAGGCTTCATAAACAAAAACGGCTATCAACGCGTTTACGTCCCATCGTTCCCGGACCGGTTGTAAAATACACCTCGACATTAATTCCGGAGTTATGTAGCGTAAGGAAATTAGTTGCAGTTATCTGTTGTTTAAAATCGACAAGGCTTTGTTTAACTTTTTTATCAGCTCTGCAGATAACACTAAACATTAAAATACGAGATTAAATAGGTGCATTAAAATACGAGATTAAATAGGTGCATTAAAAGGAAATGTTTTAAGGAATTCACCGATGTACATTTAGGAGATGATTCAACTCGAGTTTCTTGTTTATCCCGCAAATCCTGCCGGTTAGTTGACAAATATACGCGAAATTTCCGTATCCTGTCAATACACACGTTGCAGCCATCCATTCCCCGTCCGGAATACCGATTGTAAGCAGTTGCCATGCATCTCGCATTTTGCCAGACCTCATGCAACTTTGATACGCCGTAATTTTCGTTTCATATTCGAAATGCAAACTTCTTTTATGGTGCGTGCGAGTGGGAAAACGGCTTTTGATGTATCGTTAGGGCCCGGGAATTCGGAGCAGCTCGCCGAAGAAATGTCACTGTGGCTCTGATGCCGGGGCATTTCGAGTTTGAATATTTTTTACCTAACATAATAAACCTGCAGTATAAAATTGAGTATCTAAATTGCGTTTGTGTAAATAAACAATGTGTGAAACGGCGCCTTTGTAAGGGCGTCTTTCGCTGTGCGGAATATCAAATAGCACAAAGCGCCTTGGCTGTGTCGACTCAAGAAAATTTAACTGAGATTCGGAGCAACTGACACGTTCATATATTACTCCTGTGCAAGTTACACCATTAAAAATAAGAATAATTTGCGCCGGAGTTGTTTTAATAGGAGCATTTTCGTTAAATTAATTCTTCAAATTAGTTTTATTTAAATTTATATATTGTCATATAAGATTTCACAGGTCTTTTATTATGGTTTTAGTTTAGTGTACATAAACATTTCAATATATGTTTAAATCGTCGACTTCGGAATATTCTCGACGATCTGGTCGGAGTTTCTCCTGTTCCTTGCTAGTAATTTCTTCCACATCTGATGTATTATCGAATTCGTTTGTTACATCAATGTTGATCTTTGGGTTGTCATTTTCATCGTCACCGGTAAATATAAGAGATCCTTGGAATGAGTATCCTTGGAAGAAATACAACGAACCAAATGGGTTTGGAACTGAAGTCGTCTTATTGCTCAAAATTTTACCTAAAAATGTTTCAATATGTATTTAAAAACATCTCTTATTTATCTACACAACAGTTTTAATTGGTAATTTGTTTGAAATAATAATTATCTGCTTTATTTGTTGTGGTTGGGAATAAACTTTAGATAACTTTGAAATGTTCCGTCTATTAATTAATTGCTGGAAATTTCTCCTGGGTTAATTCAAAGGTCATGCTGTTGTATCGTATTCGCTAATAAAGTAAACAGCATTTGTTGATCTTTTCGATTACTATTACTATATTGTTATAATTACAAAAATACATGGAAATTACCTTTCAATCCCAAGCAATGTATTTCGGTTAGGATGGATTTTTTGTCTTCAGATATTTTTACAATTTTTTCACAGCCAAAAGTGTCCTCGGGGCATTTTTGTTGAAAGCAAATAGTCACTCCTGAAATAGAATATACTCGCATGTATCTCGCAATATTGCACATTAAAAATAATTTTACTGAGTTAGTCGTCAACTGGAATTTTAAATTTCGTAATGATAGTCACCAGTAAATTATTCTACATACCTGATTTCACGTGAGGTGCACCGTGAATGCCACAAATGAAAGCAAACACAAGAATAAAGCAAACTCGCGACATTATTTTCTACTTGTTTATTTTTTCCCAAAGGCTTTGTTATTACTGACACTACGTAGGTAATAGCAGTCCTATTTATGAACACAAAATGGTAAACAAACGTTAACTAGATATTACGTGTCTTGAGATAAGGCGACTGCTCATTGAATAATTGCTTCATTCGCAATTTTTCTACTTATTTATTGTGCAGGGACGGATTTGGATTTTTTACTTGGAAAATTTGAATCTTGATTTTGAGGTGTTTTCTAAATGCGTGTCTGTTATTTTAATGAGAAATATTTACACGGGAATTTCATAAGTTTTAAAAATATATGCTATATCAAATTTCTATGTATATATAAGAGGTCATTTAATGGAAGTGATAAGAATTTGATTTAGCAGAATTTAATGCTAAATTGGACAGGATATCTCATAGGATATATTTAAATTAAATACGTTTTACTTGCTTCAGTAATATTCTATATTGTCGAAGCGTATACCTAATTTTACTACGCAGAGAACAAGTACGTATAAACTTCGAAACGCAATTTGGATGGAATTTAATGTTAGATAAAAATAATTAAAGGAGCTTCTTCTCGGAATAAAAACTCGTGTAATACTTCAAAATGAAATTCGCTTATGTCAGAAACGGGAAAATGCCTGCTCCCTACTTATTCCTAAATTACCTGCATTCAGTAGAATTCTCCATTGAAAATGATTTTCTTCTGCAAACGTTAAAGTTTTCATTACCATAAACCTCTATGCAATCCTAATATTTAAATTATGCTAGAGCTATTTAACAGAAACGGAAATTTTTATTGCCTACTTGTTCTTGCTGAATTTTATACTACGTGATTTTGAACTGAAAATAGTGCAGTTAAGCAGAAATTGCTTTATAATTTTAAATACATTAAAGTATAGTAGGGTAGCATAAAATTATTTTTTTTATCTTACAAAAGATGTTAGTTTTAAAGAGGAATTTTTCAATAAGAAATCTTTGCATGTCCTCTTTTTATTAAATTCGTATAATAATTTATTAAGTAATTATACGAAAAAAAAACTAATACAGTAGGTACTGCAAAAAATTAAAAAGTAAAACCAAAGCAAACTTATCGATATCAAAAGAAACGTTTACCGGCAGCGGCGTTAAAAGTTTGGAATATTCATGCAGATGAAATTGAAAAATTTGCAATTTGATATGGCCAGATGTTCGCACTATATTTCACTAAAATTGGTTAATATGTATGATCCGTAAAAAAATTTATGGGAGTTAATTTTAAGAGCAAACGATACGCCGAGTGCCATGTCGCGATATCTAATTTAATTTATATCTAATATTTATTCAACGATAGGCCATATATTTAAAAATAACTTACCTTGTGAAACATCGAATATTTAAAAACGATTAAAGAGTATAAGATAAAAAATAATTTTTGATATTTTACAATGCTTTTTGTGTGCTTCTTGATATATTTTCAGAATTCTTTCAAACGAACGAACGAATGGCACGTCAAGTCAAAATCCGGCTGGAAACAAATCGAATTTTTCCCGGAGTCGTTTATAAATTCGGGATACGCGGCGTCGATAAAAAGTCACAATTTCCTTCTGTCAAAATAATGGATGTTGTTATTAACTTTAAACGAAACAACGGACAGGTTTTTGATGAATTTCGGCTCCATTTCGGCTGAAAAATATAATAAAGTCCGGTCGAATGAACCTCAAATCGCGTCGATAATGAAATAACCTGTCCGATATTTGTCTGTTATTTAAATGACACTATTTAATTAACCAATTATTTATTGTCAATATTTCAAATCGATATAGCAGCGAAGGAGCTGGAAAATTTGTTATAATTTAGAAAAAAGAATTGAAAATATGGCGGAGGAATTTCCTAAACTCTAAAAAATACTCTAAATAATCCCGGTGATTTACGATTCGTTTCTTATCTTTAAGCGCAATTAAATTTTTTTTCGTAGCAAGTGTAAACGAAAATTGCGAAAATTAATTAATCTCGTTGCCTTCTAACTGAATATATTTGTTTACGAACAATTGTCCAATAGAGTAGGTAGATGGCAGCGGAGAAAATGAAAATTCATAATTAGAATCCGTTCGTGCGAAAACGCCGTATATCATTCAGTGGGTTGCGTATCCTCAGCAAAAGACCTTAATTGCAAACACCCCAATGGATTAAACGAAACATCCTGTGCATTTTTTAAAGATAAATTTATGTAAATTTCTTATTTAAAATTTTTTCATGAAATTCCGAGTCCACGTGAAGTATTACACTCGTTCTTTAGATGCACATATACGAATCCATAAATAATAGCGAATAAACAAAGTCAAATTTAAAAAGCACATCTGCAGCCTTACTGCTTTGAACTTTCACCCATATAGGAAAAATCGCACGGAAAACCATGCACCTTTTGAAGTTTCGAATGAGTTAAGTTATGGTTACGCGAACGGTTCTAACTCCGCGCTTTCTTTCGGCGATTATTTTCCAGGAAGTTTTCAGTTTTCTCGTCGTTTAAAGAAAGCAAATGGACTTGTCTGTTATCTCGGCGGTGCGCTGGTTCGTTTCGCTCCGCTACTGCAAATAACTACATTTATATGTTACCCGATTGTTAACGGGTAATGGGAAAACTAAGTTAACTCGAATACAAGTTTTCCGGGACAATTTTCTTCGTCGAAAGTACGTTTTTCATTATATTACTTATTATTTTTTTACAACCGGATGATATATAAAATCCTCCGTCGGTTGGAGTCAAGAAGATTAATAAGTACTAGTAAAATTTTACTTATAATATTAGTACAAAAAATTAATAATTTATGTGGATTTTTATTGTATGTTTGTTAAGATAATAGTAGCACTATACGACTAAACGTAATTTTGTGGTGGCGTACATGTGTTGGAAATCACCATTAATCAATCCGGGGCTGAAACCCGGACCCAAATTACAATTAATTGAGTTGTTGGGCCGTAAAAGATCGTCGACCAAATTGACCAGCCGCCGACTGACATCAATGGAACGTTTCGAAAGTGATGTAGCGTTCGGGTCGTCTGGCTAATTATACCTTTTTGCTACTCAGGCCCTGGAATATTCGTCGAACAGAAAAACCGCTGTTTATTAAAAACCGGAGCGAGCGCCGTTGTCAAAACCGAAACAAACACGCGCGTCCGGTCTCAGTGGAACATCCTTTTTAATTTTAATCCAATGCTTTATTGTTTATTTACTCACATACACGAGTCGTACAAATTCCTAATTTGCGTAGCGTCAAAGCGGAACGTTCCAAACTCCTTTACCTCCACCAGGGGCTTACAGAACTTTGTTCATTTGTATGTATGCATTTAAATAAAACGTAATGACTTTTGGTCTCGAACATCACACTTGTTTCCTATTTTATCGAGACTGGAAGCTGAAAGTTCGGTGAGGAAAACCGCAGGTTGATACCGTCCTCCAATCTCGCATCCAATTAATTACTCTATTTAATTATAAGTTCGAAATTCTATACAAAATGTTGCCAACTGAAACTTTTTTGAACTGTCGTCGATTGGCTATACAATTCATCGAAAAATTAACTCAAGCTTAATAAAAGAAACTAATAAGATGTAAATGAGAAATCCTGCTGTGGCGCCTCTGTCGCAGGACATGTTGTCCCCATCCTAATAAAGATGTATTATACGATCCTTCGAGCCGAGACGTCCGCTGGAAAACGCAATAGGACATAATAGAGAGTTAGAAGTCAGTTTATTACTGAATTCCGCTCGCCTTCGCATTGGTGAAACGATCAAATAAAATTTTCTGCTCGGCGTTTCGGGTTTTTCTGTCGCTGCATATCCGTTTGAAAGCATCACAAAAAAGCTGCGTCCGAGCAAGAGAGGTTTTTGTTATTTAATTAAATCTCTATAAATACCTACCATTTTAGAGTGGAATTGTAAAAATACGAGGGCGATTTGGAATAAGGCGACTCGTAAAACTCGAGAAGAAACTGTATAAGTAATGCATAATTGAGGACTGGATAACAACACCATAAAACTTAGACCCGTTTGGAAATTTTCTTTTGTAGAGCCACCGGCGAGAAACTTTTTCTATCCCCCGTAATCCTCTTAAGCAGCGCCCGTCAGAGAACAAACTTCTTCAAAAACTGGTGGATCGAAAGTTTAAAACGGCAAACAAATGTGATGTATCGACTGTTTCCTCCGTTCCTTAACAGCCACTATTAATTCCAATATTACCTATAAAAAATAAATTTATTGGGCTCTTTCCTTCCTATATAAACGACGTCCAATTAAAAGGATTTTCTAAACAATTAACTTCTGATAACTGCAATCGGACCGGTTGATTAGTCTGATGTGGGCTGGATAGGAAGCTAAAGTAGCCGTTTCCCTCGACTCAATCCTTTACGCTGGTTGTCAATTTGCAACAACCGCAAATACTCGAAGACCGATGCCGGTGAGTTCGACCAGGTTGATTAACAAGATCGTCGAGGGATGAATTGTAAACTTAACCTGTATTGAATGCCTATTGCATTATGGAAAATGCTATATCTGATCACCTTTAAGACGTGAATAATTAATATCTGTCTAGTTTATGTTATTATTGATTTCGTCATTTCTGCGCTAAATAAAACGCGACTGAATAAATTGAGTTTTAAACTGTTTAACGTTTTGGCGGAAGCGCGGAAGCATCCGCCGTTATTTCGCATATTTTGCTGGGAATTTATTATATCAGGAAATTTAAATAAACAGAGCTGAACAGCCTTTTTCTACAAAGTAGAACTAAAAAAAATCAGTACAAGTTATAAATTAGCTAAAGTTTGTTCGTTTGCGTTTCCGCGTGTTAAGCAGAAGTAGGAGGGAAAGCGATAAATCTCCGCAGGCTGGATTATTTATTAAATCGTCTGTAGATAGGATTGGGTAGGACTTGCAGGTGAATAAAAATATAAACTAGTTTTAAACAAACGTATAAATAAATGTTGGGTTTTATTTTATCGACATTTTACATTTTATTATACGCAAAAAATACATCCCATCTTGTACTTTATTATAGAGAAATTTTCATCTTTATTTTCTATTTAAATTTGATAGCTTACTTTGTAGCGATATTTCAAAAACTTGACGACCAAACTGCAAGCACGAAAATTATATGCTAACCTGGCGTATAAGAGATATGAATATAAATATCCGTCACCTTCTCGTGATTTATTTTGAAAATCAGGATATGACCTTGGGCTTTTTAAATTTTCCATTCGACAGGACCGTACCTCATAAATTTATTAGTACTTTAAATTAAATCATCGTTTACGAAAAAGGATTTTTGTAATTCGATTGTAAAACTAATAAGTGATTGCTGCTATTATTTGAGGAAGAAACTTATAGAGAAGCGTAGAAAATTTGACGTGCAGAGAGCATTTATTCTTTCCAAAAGCATCCCTGTTCTTTAGAAAGTAGCGATTTATTATTCAAATTCATTCCGCTCCGAACGGGATGAATAGATTTTAACTGAAATGGGGGCTTTACCTGGAAATCAAGATTTATTTTGAAATGTAATCCTATCTTGCCCATTCGTGTAATTTGGTCTGGTGCACAATTTATCCTCTTGTGTGTCTTTTTTTCTTCTTGATTTATGAGGAAAAAAACGTTTACTACTGAGTGAATTTGCGTTTATGTTTCCATTACTACTGCAATAAATAATTATTTCCTCTATACCAACCAGGACACATCGACTTTGTTTCCAAATGGACACTTTCCAAATGGGTGTCTCCGCCTAATGGATGCCGCAAAATTTATCAGCGCCCGGAGTCAAATTTGTAGCACACTTCAGAAATAGGTCTTTAAATTAAAGAGCGCCGGCAAGACGTCTCCTCAACATCTGCCTTAGTTTCTGCGGTTCCGAGATTTTAGCAGATGTTTCACCAGATCCCGACAACTCCTTCGAAAAGTATTCAACCGAAAAAAAGCTAATGCTCTTCTTTGTTTCACTTTAGTCCGCCATTTCGGCTCAAGTAATTTCAGCCGCAAATAGAGATGTATCAATTAAAAATGACTAGTACTAATGATTTTTTACTCGCAATTTTAAGGAGGGAAGTTTCATATCAGAGAAGTATGAAATATTCATAAAGTCGCATATATATACGTATATTCGAGCACATAAAATAAATATTTAATAAATTTTAGGTACATGTTACGAGTTAGTAAATAAATAAAACGTATAAAGCGACGTACACTAAAAATTTTCCAACGATAATATATAATGGAGAAATAACGTTTTATGAAGTAGACACAATAAAAGAACCGAGGAATGTAAAGACAATTTTCGAACCATCAACGTGAATTCTCCATTTATTTTTATCTAGCAAACTGAGTTATTTCTTCTGTTGAATTCTGTCGGGTTGTTTTGTGAGCAATTCATCCAAATCAAAACATCATTGCATGCAAGAAAATTGGCAATATATTTGAATTGTTTCGCTGAATCCTTTCTCATTACCGCTGGTTACTTTGCACTAACAAGGAGTTGCAAGTTGTCGCTTATCAAAATATATCGTATATATGAAAGATTGTCTTTGTTACCTGCAAGGTTTTTTAATATAGGATTTATTTGCAAAAAAATGTTTTGTATCTAATTAGTATGCATTTCATTTCGTAAAGTATACGTAGAGCTACGCAAAATAAATAAAGAATAACGAGCCGAAAGCTGGAAACGCGAATTTCCTTTGAACCTAATTGTTCTTTCTCTCTCCGCCATAAAATAGCTTATTCCTCTCGAAACCCCGTAAATTTATATACCGCCTTAAGGATATCCAGAAACACAAAACGCTCATTACACTTAACATACGACTAACAGAGAATACAGAAAATGCAAATAAAGCCATCAGACTAGAATAATGAGCTTAGCATGCGATGCACTTTGTTGCAACAAACAGATGTTTAAAAGGCCTTTAATTCGCGAATTTACGGTATTAAAAGGTTTAAAAATCGATTCATTCGCGAGAGCATCAAAATGAACATTACCAAGGGTTAAATTCATTAACCCGGTAATTTAAGCATTGCAATATATCAACTAACACTTACCTATGCGGACACTTTCTAATTTCGAGCCGATACGGCACGCATAAATCATAAATGCCCGTTTTCCTCCAGCCGAAACGGCCGTTCGCATAACATTAAATTAGAAATTACAAGTCGGACAGATGAATATCGCAACTTAAAAGCACGATTGACCTCGCTCGCCCTCTTGCAGCACCTCATGATTACTGTCATTTCCTTTTCGAGAGAGAAAATATTCCTTAAGCGAGCGCCTACCAGGAATGATCGAGAATCGAATGCAATACCTCAGTTTACTTTATTACTCCTTGTCTCAGCGGTGCAAAATCGCCGACACTTAACCCGCTATTTAATAGACTGCAGTTCGTCGATCCTATGGAGTAATTAATAAAGTTGTAGTATAATTAGTTAGTAAGAAGGCGAAGTCATCACGAAATTCGCGAAAGCGAAACTTTTCCCAATGTCTTTTCCATTACTAGAATTAAGAGACTAAGTACGATTAATTAAAAAGTTTCATCTCGCAAATCTCCGAGAAATATTAGGCAGCTTCGGCTTCCTTATGTAGGGATTTTTCTTGTCTACGAATCGCTTTTTCTCCGAGTTTAATATTCCTTTTGGAATTTTTTTTTGCTAATTTAATTGCGGAAACGGATAAAACTCTACAGAGTCCACCGGGAATATTCCAAAATTCCACAAATTCTGTATATTAAGTTATCAAAAAGTTAGATTAAATTATTACCTACATTTAGCCTAAAAATTTACAATCAATGGCCATAAAATATTTCTTCCTTTATAAAAAAAACGCTTTTAAAAGCAAATATTTATGGGTTTTGTTTTTTTTTTTCTTATACCTACTTTGAGGATCGCCTCGAAGTGTATCAGATATAAATTTTACTTCGAAAGTATTTCGGGACGAAGGAAAAATGGCTTCAGAGCCGGTTGATTTCGATGAATACAAATTATACACTCCATATACTCGAGAGCACGCCGAAAGCAATGATATGGAAATTCCGCGGAAAGGCTACGTGTTATTCCTTTTCTGGGCCCAAACTCTAATTTATAACGAAACTTTTTTATGCGTTCCTTTTTGAAATTAAAAATAAAAAAAGTTCACAGCGGGTTCCAAATGGAAGACGTCTCGCTTTCAAGCGAATTTGCAAAAAAATGTACCTTTTTTATGCAAGATCTCAAAAAGAACTTAAAAGTGAATATGGTAAGATCTACTTGTTTAATTTTTATTGCAAGGGAAACGTATTTCCAATTTCTTTCGGTTTATAAAATCTTTATAGATACCCGTATAGTTTATATTCAATACAGTTTACCATTCGTTTAAAGTCAAGTCATCGACGCCATGGATTATTTCGCTCCGACTGCTGCTTAACGGGTAAGTCACAAACGACTGTTGCTCCTCCATGTCTTCGTCAATGTGGAACTTTACGCCGATGTCTTGTAAAACGCATGGTTGAGTCTTGGGTAGCTCTGCTTTGGCTTTGATGACTCTAGGGAACGGCTCGAATCTCCCATCGTTCGTTGCATATTGATCCTCGTGGAAAATAGTGTGGTTGCAAAGGTTCTTCAGCTTCTCGGGAACCAGCCTCTTGTCCACGGCGGCGTACGCGTAGTGAGGATGGTCCTTTTGCCTTTTGACTTGTCCTTTTGCTTCCGTCGATTCCTGAGATGCTAATTTCTGGAAGATTTTAGGGTTGATTTTTTCTCGCAACGCTTCCAACGTTAGAGTCAACTTTTCTCTCGCTTTTCTCTCTTTTATGATGTCTTCGCACACGTAATGCCAGTAATTGTTAACGAGGCTGAAGTTGGTCAATTCGATATTGCTGAAGTAACTCAGTATATTCTTCACTATCCAAATCGGTAAGAGTTGGATTAAATCGATGTCACAATCCGTAATTGTACTTCTTATGCTTGAATTCGTCTTCGTCGATTTCCCCGAACTTTTACTTCTATTTTCAGCTTTTAGCGGTGGCGCCATGACTTCCTTTTTATAATCATTCATTGTATCAGCCCTTGCAAGAAAAATTAAGATAGTTAAAAGATTTTATAAGAGCGTATAAAAAGAGGTCCAACCATTTCTTTCTCTGCTTCATTAGTTCTATCGTAGCGGGATGTTTTGGATCGTATTCAACTTCTTCTGTATGATCCACATACACCGAATCAAGTGCCATTTCTTTGGTTTCGAAAACAGACATTCGTTCTTCTCTGTATGCCATTAGTTTCGTCCAATTCTCCCTGAGTTCCTTACGGAACCGTGGGTACAGCATTCTTCTAACGCTGCTGCTGCACAAGCTTAATAATTGCATCATTAAATGGTATTGATGGTCGTCGCTGATGCCGTCGAACCATTGCAGATCGTTCCTCAGAGTTTCAATCAATGTTGTTTCATCAAACGTCCTGTCGTGGTCCCATATCATTTTTTGGTAAGGATCTTCAGTTCGCGGGTCTACGGCCCAATAGCACTCAATTTTGCATTGTTGCAGCGGGAGGCTGCTTACCACCTGGAACTTAATGGTCGGACTCTTCAATCTTCCGACGAATTCCATGATGCATGGTATTTTGTTGTAACACGCCAATCGTCGGAAGTATTCCTGGATCGATAGACATCTTTGTTTAAAATGCCTGGCTTTCTCGAGCTTAAGTAACGCAAATCGCTTCTTCTCCTCTATGGCTTCTCTTATGAGCGCTTTCTCTTCACTGATGTATCGGTCCATGTTCTTAATCTCGAGCTTTTAATGAGACGAGCAAAACAAACGTCAAAATAAAATTAAATTGTCGCGAACTGACATGCTGTTGGGGAAGCGTTGTACTCGCAATCCCGAAATTATACAATATTAAGCGCGATATTTTCATTACGCAAACTATGCTAATTAAAATTTAATCGGAACCTCATAAATTCCGGATATTTATTTATGGCGAACTATTATGTGCCCTTGGCGTGCAGTTAAATTCCTCGTTAAAATCCAGCACAGTTCGACAAGCATTACCATTGCAAGCACTCGATCTTTAATTAATTACTTCCACAGGTATATCCTCGATGGAAGACGTGCAACAATTTTCGCTGCTCTGCATTTTAGCGATATTGCATGCCTCAAAATCGTACGAATTTCATTAACGCCTATCGGCATTGGCGTTCGGGAAATTCACTTCGAATATAGCAGCTCAAGTTATTATCTCCATCAAGAACCAATATCTTGATGCTTGATATCTTTCCAGATGAGAATTTGGTGGTAATTGTTTTGATTGTTTTGGAACCGGGTAAAAATTCTTTAGGGTTTCGTATGAACTTGGGTCTTTGATATATTTGATTAGAATTGTTTGTGTTGTTGCGCCGTCTATGCAATCATAATCTACATGAAAGTGGTTGTATACAATTTAGAAAATACGCCGCATAGGAGCAATCATAATAAAAGCTCTGAAAATACCGCACCTATTTATTTCCTTAGCGGTAGCGCCTTACGAGCTATGCAACCAATTCCTCATATCGGTTCGTACTCTCCTCTTGGAATCACACACGCACGCTGTGCGCTCGACCGGCTTAACTTCGCGCTGGCTTAGCCGATTGTAGTTAAGTAAACTAAAGTTAGTCGGTGATCGTTAGCGCTCTGTTACTGTAATGCGCGTGGTGATCGCTCCGTGAACGTATTGCCCACATAACCTACAAATCGGCGTTTTATTTTCGATAATGTTTGGTGTGAAACTGTCAGCGGCCGATTCAACTGATAAGTCGATCCGGTGCTATCTCTAAAAAAAAAGGATTATTCGCGTGCGTTTTCGATACGAATAAATCGAGATGAAGGCGATTTTATTCCTGCTTGGGTTTACGCTCGCTTCTAATCAAACACGTAAGTTTTTATTTTTAGCAATCGTATTTTGTTTTGCCAAAATTCGGTTTGTCAACATAACGGCTGATAAAATCATTCTCGCGCGCACCGGCCTTTATTTTCGCGTCCCTTTATTATTTCGCGAGTTTTATAAATACCGTTCTATTACTCGTTGCATAAAATATGAGCGCAATAATTCGCCTATGGTGGATTTTTTGTGGCATTGCAAATGAACACCTGCAAAGTACGAGTTTAATTCAATTTGTAGCATTAGCGTTACTTAGGTTAGCACTTTATTAATCAAAACTTGCTAACTGTACGAAATTTGTAACACGATGCTGTATCAACAACATGCGCAAAAGTTTGCGAAAAAAATATATATTCATCCCTTATCAATGAAATTAAAACTCAACAATAAAATATTTTGAGATACCTACTTTTTTTATTTTTTTAGTGGTTAGGTATGTTAATTTTCTAATTAAATCGATTAAAATATCTTATTATGATAGCCATTAATCGAGTAAATAAAAATGGAAAGAGCGAAATTATCCAAGAATATTTTGCATATAAACTAGTATAAAGACATTTAAAATATGCTAATTTCTTCAAAGCCGAAATTAAATTGCGAAACCGCACTATAAAGAAGAAGATAAACTTCCTTAAAAATTCGAAATATCAACAGATAAAGCGCCCCTTTAATTTAGAAATGACGCGTTTTAACGAAGAATGGTCAATTTAAAAAGTACCCAATTAAACTAGACCGTTATAATAATAACAAATACACGGTGTAGTAATTTTATAAACACGGTAAAACAACATTTCTTAACTTTTATGAGTTCGCTCTGATGAAATTGGTAATGTTAAGGTAAACTGAAGGATATGTCAGGTTGTTTTAAAATTAGTTTAGAGATAAGATAAACGAAATGCGTAATTTTGTGTACTAAAAAATATTTTTAATTTAAATTTTAGTACTATTTATCAGCTGATTCTTCTAATAATTCAGTAGATAATTCAATTTGTAATACATGTAGTAAAAATTTAATGTTATCATTGTAAATTGATATACAAAACTAATTTAAAATACAAATAAATACTTAATTACAATTAAATAGTTAAATACGCAAATTACGTAAAATGGAATACAATTCGAAAATTTAAGTGTCGATTATACTATATGCAAAAACTAAATAATAGGATACATTAATTTGCATTTATTGCTATTGCTCAATTCCAAAAAGCCATAAAGAGTAAATCTGAGTGCCTTAATATTCTGACATCAGCCGTTTCGAAAAGAACGGTATATTTATAATTTATCGTTTTGGCATTTGGATAGAGACAATCAATAACGATAGGTGAAACGTGGACGGAACGTGACAAATCGGTGAAGGAATTTAGAAAAATTACCTTTATGAAGCAGTTAAATTCGCGACTATTACATCAGTTTAAAATTAACAATGAATTATACTCGATGAAGCACTTGAACAAACGACTTTTTATATTTACCATTAAAATTTATTATTTCTTGTTGTAATTCTATTTACAATTTGGTTGTTTATAATGTGAAAAATGTGTAAGTACGGTTTTTTGTGTATTTGCATTTAAGTCCTTATCTTTGTATGAAGATTTGTTCCTTTATTAGTTTCTGGTAAAGTTTAAACTTTTAGATAAGAACCAGACAGGTGAGAAAAATATTTGGTAATACGCAATTAGAGCATCCAATTGTGAACAAAAATTCCAGGACTATTAATTTGAAAGAGCAGGATGAGTTTGAAGTTGCAAATTTTTATTATTTCGCTGTATTCGCTATACATGTAGGATATTGTAATCAATTCGTAGAATATTTAGTAATTTTTCGCCAGAATAGCACAATGCACAGTAAACTATAAATGTGTATATTTACATCCTGACACATCTTCAACCGTAATCTATGCTATTTTAATTAGTCAACAACGGTTTTTCCTGCGAAATTTAATGAAGCAACACAAACAGTAAGAAATGCTTTTACTTTCACTTTTGCAACAACATGGTATTTGATGTAAAACCTACACTTTTTCGATTAAGTACCTACTTATTAGATCAACTCACGTCGGGATCATTACAATGGTATTACAAATTTGCAAGTACGTAATTACAGCCTGACAACCTATCATTAAAATTAATGTAATTGCGTACGATACGATTATTATTGAGGAATCTTTCAACTACTTGTTGATTTATCTAAATCGTCTCTTTTAACCCGTTACGCGTTGATTTATTCGATTTGAAACTTATTTTCTTGTCTAATAAACTCTGATGCTTCCTTGACTTCCTTAGTTTTTACGTAGACAGAGTAATTTATTGAGAATTCAAAAATTGTAACTATCTTCAATCGTTTTGTAAGAAATATTTCACAAACTTTCTACTAATACTAGGTGTATTGAAAAATACACTTGTATATTGATCGTTATCTATAGCTATCAATTACATATGTATTTAGTTCATTTTTAAACTGCTATTAATTACATCTGATGTATTGAATAACTATATTACAAAGAGACTATATGTAGCGATTATAATAGATTATACGATCACCTCGTATCGATCATATTCGGCTAGACTTGACATTAGAGAGATGACACCCGTATAGTTGACCTTGTTAAAAGAACTGTCCGTTTCATTAATGTTCGTACTCACCATTCCTGCTGCCAGCATCTGAATAATTGATAATAATTTACAATCAATTTTGATAACGTCTGCGCTGGAAAATCGAATGATTTATGCTGCCTCGACGAAGAGGTGCAAATAGATGTAGATACAAAAATGTTGTACGTGTGAAGGATCCATAAAGGATCCAATGAATGTACCTTCATATTGCAATATTAAATTGTATGTAGGTAACTGATGTAGATACAGTACATTCCTTTAATGATTTAATAATATCTAAAAATAAAGTGCTTGCATTTTTTTGTTCAATAAAATTACACTAATATAGTGTACAGTAAATATCCGAAATCGTAAAAATGTCCGTTCAGCAACATAATATAGTTTACACGCTAAATTCCTCGCATAGCTTAAATATAAAACCATTTTTAGCAAATATTTACAGTTGTAAATTTTGTTGGAAGAAAAATTGTGTCTAAAATCGCGCAAATTCCAGCGAATTTTGTGCTGAAAAATCAATTTCGAAATGAGACAAGATTCGATATCAAAACAGCGTTAAATAATTTCTGGAGTGTTTTTTTTTCCTGCTGTAAATTCATCTAAGTAACCTCATATTTTTCGAACCTTTTTTATAACGAAAAAAAATAACATTTACATCTAAAAGTACGATATTTGTGCCTTGAAAGCATACCGCCCCGGGATGAATTATGTTTTCGAATACGTGCTCTCTGGATTTTCCTGGAACAAAATGCACGATCGTTTCAAGTTTACGTATAAATTTTTATATTCGCATAAAGCAAGAAACGAGTCAGTTAACACAAAGAATACAATAAAAAAGAAGAAAAGCTGCTTTTTTACTGTCAATGAGAGGATGAAATTAATGCCTGGAAACTTCAAAATTGCACCGTAAAAAATCAGAACGCAAATCATCCGTTAAAATCTGATTGCACCTAATCGCTTAATCAAAACAACCTTTATGTAACGCACGTTACACAACAATAGAACCTAATTTACTTTTCGCTTTTTATGACTCGATTATTATTGTGACGTGCTAAAAGTACCAGCACAAACTTAATTCATTCACTGCAGCTATTTGTTCAAATTCGCCAAGTACGAAGGTCGATTCATTCGAATTAAGTAATCTGCAATGGACATAACAAAACGCAATTTACATCGTGTTTATTTGACGGAATTGCAACTATTAATTAATTAAGCACTTATTTTGGGAATTTCCCGAGCAATTACTAAAAACAATTCTATTTACGAATTAATCCAATTATTAATTAGTAGATATGAATTTAATTTGCATTAAATTTCGTATTAAAGTGATTCTCTAATTACAGTTCGATACACGAATTATAATGATGAATTATACACCTTCGTATAATTGAATTTGTGTTACAAGATGTGTGTCGCGTAAAGTAGATACCTACATTTAACATTACAGTCACATTATCATCATTCAATTACTGAACGCAGTGACTTCCATTTGTATCGAAAATCCGCACGGGTGCCCCGATAAATTCGCGGAAAGAATATTTTATTCAAATGCTAGGTTATTGCGGCAGGCGGCTGAGATCAATCGCTTGTGCCTTTTTAATAATTGTCGTTTCGCTTTATTTTCGAATTCAACCTCGACAATCATTGGAACTCTGATTTATGGTCAGATTTGCCAGTGCCCGGAGGGCTATTATGTAATTTTCTGCTCTGATTGACAGATCAAGGAACAAGAAAAAATATTAACTACTTATACAGGGTAATTCTGATAATTTTAAGTAGGTACTTTTTGCATACAACTCGTATTAGTTATTATATTGTTTGATTAATTTGTACGTTTTGGATGGCTAAATTTTGTGCGTTTCGAGTTCGAACAAATAGGAGATTCATGTACGGAAATGTAGTATTATGTTTGTATTTCCAGATTAGATAAAAAGATTAATGTTGAATAAACATGAGTAGATATACATTAAGGGCGAATCCATTATGTGAGAGCATACTGGAAATGTACAGTTAGGTTTTGATGAAATCGAATAATGCTTTGTGTAAATACGAAAGAGGAAAAACGTTGCTCAATAAAAGTTATCTTGGTTACAAAAAATTGTTAAGTGCGAAACAAAAAAAATTATATCAGAATTGAACCATGAAACCAATAAACCTTATCATCAAGGTCTAAATAAATCGTTTATATAAATTTACTCCGAACGCCCACCTGAAGATATTTTACTGTGTCGTGATAACATTTTATAATAGGCATTTTGTTGACAAATCTAGATAAGATTTTTTTAATATTTTATATTGTGCCTCATTTTATAGGTGTTAAGGGTGTGGTGTAAAACGCAAAAATAATTTGCAAGTAGGTACCGCGAAGAAACAAGTGTTAC